CAGAGACGAGACAGGAGAGAGGCAGGATGTGATCCTGCCCCTGCTGAGGCTGGAAGTGAGCACCTGTGGGGAATTATTAGCTTCAGCACACAGACAGGAAAATCCTCTCCAAGGGAAAAAGCTTCCCTTCCTCCAATCCCCTTAGCACAGGCCGCTTCCCTTTGGGGTCACTGCATTGCATTAAAGAACTGGGGACTTGGATCCTCTCTGTTGTCTTATGGGGCCGGAGGAGATGCCATGTGCAGATGACAAGCCTCGGCAGAGCTTTCATTCTGGTAGAAGAGTGACCCTTGTGGTTTGACCCTTCATTTACCAATACAAAACCTGTCTAGCAAGGTAGTGCCCAGAGACTCCAGCTGAGATCTGGGCTCCATCGGGATGCTGCACACACAGCAGACGGGAACGTCTGTTCCAGACAGCGAAGGCAGGTGGAGGGCGAGATGGGAAGCACCGGCCCAGAGAGGGGAACTGATGTGTCCGAGGTCACGCAGCTTGCCCACGGCAGAGCTCCCAGTAGAGTGTGCATCCACTGGCTCCCAGTCCAAACCTTATCCATTAGCCCCATGGCCTGTGTTATTCTGGCCTGACTCCCTGGATCTTACTCAGTCCTTACACAGGCAAGGCCTCCAGCAGCGTCAGTGGGAATTTTGCCCACCTAGTTAAAAAGTGCACAAGGGTTTGCACTGGAGGCTGTCTCACGAATGCGTGGCAGGGCCGTGGTGTGGAAGGGGGAGGATGGGTCCTGCTCTCTGGACTCCTTGCTCGTGCGGGGCTGGAGGCTGGAACCAGTTCGGAGACGTGTCTGCTGGACCGGGTCACTAGGTTTAACAATGTGCTTTTGCCTGGCGCATGCTGTCCCGGGAAAATACCTTTAACGCTGCATTGGCTGAACCCGCATGAACCCGCTTGAAGTGTCCTGAGGGGCTCCTCCTCCATTGCATCTCTGCCTTTTGAGCAGGGCTGGCACGTCAGGCACGTGCTCAGAGCAGCCAGCAGCCTGGCAGGTGGGCAGAGGCTCTGTTTCCACACCACGCATGTTGCCTAGGTTATGCCTTCCACTAGCTGATGTTGCATGAGCCCTGCAGGCAGTGCCTGGGGAGCCTGGCTTCAGCTCTGAGAGCACATGATGGAAACTTTTAAGGGGGAGCCTTCTCACATCTGCAAAGAAGAGTTGGGCCTGGCTGCTGCCAGGCATATAAGGAGTGAGGAGACGTTTTGAATTTGGACTTAAAGTGCTTTCAAAAGAAGCCAGGTAACAGGGCTGGATTTTCTTTGTAGCATCTGGTTTCTCCAGAGTGTGCATCAGCTGCATCTGGGATGTATCGAACCTGCTGGAGCCGACATGGGGCCTCAAGACGCTGTTTGCTTTGTGTTCTGGGGTTGGCACCACTGACTTTTTTAATGCTTTGGCCACGTGACTTGCCAGGAAAGGTTATAGGGGCAGAGCACAGCAGGGGGCTACAATAATGAATCTGTGTGTTACAGACATAATTTCAACCTATGTCGCACACATGCACTGAGTGAGCTGGGGCTAGAACCCGTGGCCTTCCTCTTCCTGCAAAACTAGACAGCTCCCCTGCAACCTGTTAGGCCCCTTATCATCTGTGTGGATAAACCAGTAGAGGGCAATGCGATTGCATGCAGACATGAACACAGCCAATTCAGTGCAAGAGATAAAAGTGAGGAGGGGGCAGACTGGGTGTAAGAAGGAAGGGAACCCTTTGGTGGACAGCGGCAACCAGCCGGATGGAGCCGCCAGCCGACACCGGCGTTCAGAAGGACCATGCTGCATGGCAGTGCAAAATCTAACAGATTAAGTCCTGTCTGAGAGGTAGATGTTCGTTGGGCATGACAGGAGTGGGGGAGAGGAAGCCATTGATTTGGGGTGTTGGAGTAGCTGTCTGCTTTTAGGGGGGTTCAGGAGGACTGGTTTTTATCATTAGTTTTCTGTGGGTCTTCCATCCTTCTCTGATGCAGCTTGGTTGGAGACAGACAGCGGAGCTATCTCCACCCCATTGCACAAGCAGCAGAATGGTTGCGTTCCAAGTGTCCCTACAACACACCCGAGAAGCTGGGCAGAGCCTCCCCCTGCCCTCCCCGGTGCTTTTGTTAAGGGGACTGTTCTTTCATCCGAGTAGAAGACAGCTGGTTAAATGCACAGGCCCAAACCCTTCCCTGCTTGTAAGCAAACGGCGTTAGATCCCAGGGGTGAACTTGGCCTGTAGTAACCAAAGCCTCCCTAACACAGCTCCTGACCCCAAAGGGGAAGGGTGGACATGGGGACACGGACTGCCACAGTTGTTATTCCTTCCTATCCCAAAGTGCTTGCAGTTGAAGACTGCAGGGAACCGCGGTTCACCTCATTACAAGCTGCCCTGGCCTCTTTGCCTTCTACGTCAGCTCCCCTTTTCTTGTTGCCTTCCCCCCCACCCCCACCACAACAGTTCATCCAAATTCATCTGACTTCATCATCCGTGGTGGTTGGTGTTCCAGCCGTGGCTCGTGTTGCTAGGACCGTATCAGATTTCACAAGCTGTGCACGCGCTGGGTCTGCTCAGCATTTGTATGGGAGACCTCTTCGGGGGTCCTTCAAATGCCCCACGATGATTCCCTTTTCTCATCCCTCCTGCCCTAGTGCCTTGAATTAAATCAGAGGCCCTGGGCATTTTTGATCACTAAAGATCTCCTCCTGCCTATCTGAAGACTGGAAGGTTAACACTGGAGCAATGATATTTTACTCCCATCAGATTTCCCTTTGCAGCGTTCACTGCAGAGTTTTCTACTTTGGGGTGTTTTGGGTTTTTTTGCCTTTAAAGTGATAAGCCCCGTGGCTGTGTACTGTTGAATAGTGGCCGTGCTCCACCCCAGAGACGGCTGCATTTCTGGGGTGGATAAAACAACCCCTGTGTGCTGTTTTGTAGCCCTGTTCCCATCTGCGAGGTGCCCTAGATTCCTTTGGGAGATGAGACAGTATCATCCCATATTTTCCCCTCCTGCTCCCTTCCTTTATCCCTCTGTGCTGCTCCTCACCCTACAGCCCTCTCTCCCTCCCCTCCCCGCCGCTGGTGTTGTGCTGATGACAGCGTTTATCTGCATTTGTCCTCTGTACCCGCCATCCAGTTATTGATTTGCATGATTAAAAAGAACTGATAATCACTTCAAATTAATCCCATAAACGACTTAAGGCACTGAAATATTTGCATAATGCATCTTAAAGGTGGCAGCTGAAAGAGGATAAGACTCAAAACTGCTTGGCACAGGGGGAAAATGGGCTTCCCACTCACCTGAGGACCTGTTTAAGTAATTAGCCTTTTGCTTGCGTAAAGAGGAGTCTGCGGTGGTTTAACGGATGGAAATGCAGAGGGTGCTAAAACGCTTTGAGATCTGAGCATCCTATTTTGGCCCTGAGAGTTTGGGGGGGGGGGGCAGGGGGCTGCAGAGAGGATGACAGCAGCTGCTGGAGCAAAGTCTGCTTCTGTCTGCTGCATCCTGTGAAAATCTGGAGCCAGACGCCTGCTGAAAGCACCTCTGTCTAAAGACTTTCTGTCATAAACTTATCTGATTAGCAGAGAGCTAGACAACAGATTAGCACCCGCTTCTCCACTGGGGACGGGCTCTTTGGAGCATTTGAGCAGCTCTGTGCCTGTTCCTGCCGGGGGCCAAGGGGGGTGGTGGTGGGGAGAACAAGAAGGGGGCTATTTAAAGGGAGAGGACTGCTAGGTAGCTCTGCAGATCATGCACCATCAGCGTTGCCCTGGGAGTCCCAGGTTAGGACCGTCTCCCCCGAGCAAGCAAGCAGGTGGTCATGTGCTGTGTGTCGCACAGAGCGGGCGCTCTGGTCATGTGAGTAACGGCTGATAGGGACCCTCTGACATGGTGGGAATGTTTTTTTGGGGGGATATCTTAACTTCTTTCTGCCTATTGCCTCCGGGCTGGGAAGAGGAGTGGATGGAGCATAGCCAGGCTGCTCAGCGTGGGACGAGCCCTCTGGGCTAGAGATGGGTGATTTATCATACACCTTTAAGCAAAACGGATGGAGACTTTCCAGCGTTTACTTCTAGATGCGCAGAGGGGCATGCAGCTTTCTCTCTCTTAAATGTCGTCTATTATCTGTATTTATGTCTGTCTCTATCAGCAATTGTTATATATAATGTATGAAGGCAAGGACTGGTAAGGCAGGGAACTTTACAGTCTTAAATCTAGCAGTTGCTGCAGTGAATGTCTTTACTCTTCTCCTTCTCCTTCTCTCTCTCTCGTACGTTCCACGGGAGGGAAGGGGGGTTAAAGTAGTTTGATGCCAGGATAACAGGCAGAATAATATTTAGCCACCTTCTGTAATGTGTGTTCATATCCCAAAAGGAAGAGGGAGTTATTTTGGTATCTGTTATAGAGTGATGGGGTGAAAATGGGTCTTACAAGCAAGGTTGTTTTCTTAACTTTCTGTGACTATGGTGGGTCTGTGGCAGTGCTCTGGATACAAAAATATTATTTGAGCAAGTAAAACCGGCTGACACATGGTAGAACTAAAAAGCTATCTATTTTTTCCCAAACAACAGTGTGCCAGCTATCTTATCACTCTGCTATCACCCATTTGAATTCTAGTTTTGTGTCAGTGTAGGAATAGGCAGGACAATTTCTCAGGCACGTTTCTGGTCCTTTGACCTGGGACAAGTGCCCCCTGGCAAGGCTGAGATCTCGGATGCTGGTGTCCGCAGAGTGCTTTGCAGGGAGGGAGCAGGCAGTCCTGGGAGGACTTGCTGCTTAGTTTGCCCTCCCCAAAAGCGAGGGCGGTTGCTTGGGGACTTTAAGTGAGGGAGGGGGAGAATCTCCCCTGTAACTCAGAAATGGCCAGGGCAGATAAGAGACTTCCGTGTATGTGTGCCAGCATGCACATACACACAACCTTGCATGCGCACTTGTGCGTTCGGACACACACACACAGCAATTACGTGATGGCAAATAGGATTTCCTTAACTTGGTGTTTTTCTGCTGTGTTGCAGCCGTGATAGCGACCTCTCTACCATCATCTCCAACCTGCATCAGAGCCGCCAGCTCGTTATGCCAGAGACCCAGAGTCGCTGTGAATTCAAGAGAACCAGCATTGACGTCGGCTTAGGAGCAGCAGGTAAGCAGCCAGGATGCCTGGCTCTCTTGTCCTCTGTGGCTTGGGAGAGAAAACTTACAGCTGAGGCTTTCTGAGTTCCCTCCCCTTCCCCCTCCTCACTTGGACAGCTTTTTTGGTTCTTTGCAGCTATGCCTTATTGTGTAGCATTTAACTTTAGATCTCCAAGTAAGGTCTGCGAGTCCCTTACTATTCCTCCCCAAAGAGGTGATGTATTTGGTAAGGAGTAAGCCATGCGGTCTTGCATCACCTCAGCTCCTCTCGCCTCTCAGCTCTCGCCCTCTGTGTTAAATGGCAGGTGAGGCAGTTGCTGTCCCTGGGGGTTTAGTGGCCAGCGAAGCAGAAAGGCCATGCAGAGAGCGCGGTGTGATTTGTAATTGCATTAATCAGCAGCTCCCCACGCTGCCTTGGCCCTGCCGGCTCTTTGCAAGGGTATTTGTTTGGTGGTGCGCAGTGGCCTGACCTTTCACAAGGTCACTTGGCTCCCACATCCATGCCTCGCTGAAGCAGAGGTCATCTCAGTGGGCTGGGTCCCCCTCTACAGTGGTGCGGGCATATCCGGCAGTAAGTGCTGGATGCTGGGAACGTCCTCTGCCCCGTTTGCATTTGGGAGAGCCACCGATGGGCTCTAGCATGTTCCCTGGGATCTGGGCGCAACTTTGGTCCCAGAGAGGCTGCAGTCAAATTCACAGGCTCTGATTGCTGTTACACCCGCAGCGACGTTGAGCAGCTTTACAGTTGTCTTTGCAAAAAGGGTTTTAAAGTCATTTCCTTTGCAGAGGGCCCGCCAGGCTGTATTAGTGTTGGGAAAGGCCTTTGGGATCCAGAGCAGTAGAGACAGGGCAAAGGGTGCCCCGGTGTTTATTCCCATCGGGGTGAAGTGGTGAAAATGGGAACTCCCCAACCCCTGCAGAAGCACATGCATTAAACGAGATGGGGGAGGGCCTGGCCCTTGGCGGATTGGCTTGGATATCTTTTCATCCTGATTGGCATGAGATTGCTGCTGAGCGTGGGCAGCACCATACCTAGACTCCTGGCGGCCCCAGGCGAACTTTCAGCATCGGGCTCCCCTTCGCCAGAGATGATGTTAATAATAATTTTAAAATTACCATTTTGGAGCTCCCTTTCTGTCCGGGTCCCAGGTGGCCACCTGGTTAGCCCATGCCTGTTTCCGGCCCTGAACGTGGGTGTCCGGGACTGTTTGCAGTGAGGAGGGTGGTAATGTCTGTCCTGTATCGTACTGCGAATCTGAGCTGAGAGAGAGATGGGCAGGACTGCGAGAGGCCACCAGGCAAGTGACAGCTTTTCAGGAGGTGATGGATTTGGTGCGTCTGAGAAGGGCTGAACAGCAAAGGAGGAGGCAGTGACAGGGGCGGAAAGTGGAGAAGAGAAGGTGTGGGGAGCGCAGGGACTGTCACTCTTTCACAGAGAGAGTTGGGATTTTGGTTCTCCCTGGTGTCTGGAGGTGGATCTCTCTACCTGTACCTCAGGCAGCCTGGCAGCTGTGTCGTGAGAGCATGCGTGGATCAGGTCCCTCCGCCTCCATCCCACCAGCTGATTCCTGGACACCGACCATGCAGGGGGCAAGGGGATGCAAACCCAGAATAGAGAGGTGCAAAATGCCACCACTCAATTGTTGCAAGCAGCTTGTTAGCAGTAGTTAATGCTGGGCTTGGCTGATGGTGGAACTGGGGCTAGGGCCACCTATTAGGAAAGATGAGAGAAAACAATTGAGACAAAGTGATTCCTGTGCTTTGCCTCTTTGTATCTTGGTAGCTGCTGGGGCCTGACTCCTTGTGTGCTCAGTGCTGTACGTACCCATCACAAGAGATGGCCACAGCCCTGAAGAGGCTGCATTATAAATGGCCCAGGCTGAGAAAATAGTGGGAGAAAGGGAGTCCTGTTTTGAGCACAGGAGCTGGGGCCCTGTGTGCGAGGCCTGCCAGCCTGTCTCCAAATGCTTTATGAAGGTGGGTGAATCTGAGGTGGCTCACGATGGTGAAGGGGAGTGTGGAGCAGATGGATTGCAACGGTCTCGTCGCATGTCCTGCTCTCTGTCCAGCACCAGACTCCACTGCTTCTGCCCTGCCATTGCTGCAGAAGAGCAGGGCAGAGCCTGTCGTAAAGATTTGCCCCTTGAGGCGGTTCTACCTGCGCTGGCGCCATGCACGTGTTGCAGGGCTGGAGGCCTGGCTGCACGTCATCTGCAGCTGAGCGCAGTCAGAAGCGTTCCCCGTGGTCGGGACCTGAACTCCAACGAAACATGAAAGCAATGGCAGCTGCAAAGGGCAAAAACCTACCCGGCTCTAGCCAGTGTTTCTCAGCAGGACATAAAGGCCCTGATCAGGCAGGGGGAATGGTGGCTTTTGCAAGGACAGCAGAAGCAGGAGGCCGAAAGGCGCGCGCTGATAAAATCTAATTGCCCTATTGATCGGCTTCGGAGCCACCGTTGGCTGTGGTAATGATTGAGATATTCTTATGCGTTTGATGCATGTAGCTGTATCTCGCTGCTCTGGGCCCACTGGGGACCTTAAGATATTACGGAGATCTCTTAATCACGGAGCAAACCTGTGTGTGCTGGGCACGCTCTCCGGCACAGAAGATTTATTATAATTATTATCAGTGCTGCGCTCGGATTTCTGCAGGAGCCGGCGCGGTGCCCTGGGTTTCAGGAAGCAGCTGTCCCATTTGTACCTCCTGATCATTAACTGGCTGATGGACTTCAGCCCAGGCTTGGCTCAGGGCTTGTCCCCCACCTCCCTCCCTGTCCTTGCGATTCTTCATTCCTTCCTGCCTTCAGCGGCTAGGGCTAGGAGCATCGCTTCCCCTCCTCTCTTCATGCGGTTTCCATCGCCTCTGGTCCCAGCCCCCCACTTCTGTTCCCCCACCCTGGTTCAGGAGTGGTTCTGCAGCCAGAATTGAGATGCTTTGCTCCCTTAGCTACAGGGCACAGCTGTATGCACCAAACAGATGCTGCTACTGGGGGAGGTGCCCCAGAGGGAAGTGCTGGTTAAAATCCCAGAGCAGTATGGGGATGGACATTTTCTTTCTCAAGGTGTCTGTGCCCTCTCACCCGCAATGGGGGTTATGTTCCTGCAGTTAAGGAGGAATCAGTTACGAATATCTCCAATAACTCCAAGCTGCCTCCAAATAAGGCATTTCAGCAGAAGACTCTCCCCACCCGCCTTTGCCTGGTGCCCGATTCAGAGGTAGAAGAGGTGGGGGCCCTCGATCCGTGGGTGAGTTGTCCCCCCCGTCCCCTCCCAGCACCGTCCCCTGGGCTCCCCATGCCAGGTGACGCAAGCCTGATGGGTGCTGATGGTTGTTCCTCCTGAACTTGAGCCTAAGCCTGAGTGTGTCGAGGTTTCACAGAACAGCAGCAAACTCGGTGTGAGGAAGGGGCTTCTCCGTCTGCCCTGCCCTGGGGCACTCCTCCAGTCCAACCAGTAGCTATAATCCAGCTGGAACCTGCGGCGGGTCTACCCTGCAGGTTTGCACGGTACTCCTCTGCAGCTTTGGCCCTCGCCCCCTCTGTTGTCCGTATGGTAGAAGTGCTGACCTGGTTTTGACGGCACTTGAAGCCCGGGGCAGTTGGCCTGGCTGTGGGTTGTTGGATTAGGACCTGGGCTCTGCTTGGACCTGGGCTGGGATCCACCCGATGCCTCACGGTGCGGATACAAGATACGTCTGACCATCATTTGCAAGTCCCTTCTAAAGACAGACACCTTCTCCTGTCATTGCCTGGAGAAGGGTCATAAAGCCTCTCGGTGCACAGAGCCACGGGATATGCCCCCAGGTGCACATGAGTGAGTGCAGGGCACTGCGGCACGTAGGGTTTTGTGGTGGAAACTCTTGCACCCAGGCCTTGCTAACTTAGTTGCCAGTCCCCTGGGTGCAGCATAGACACAGTCCTACAGCCAAAACACCCTCCGTTGAGCCAGGAGGGGCCAGTGCCCTTTCCCTGGCATGCATTAGTGTTCCCTCCTCCTTCACCCCCTTCCTCTTTCCTAATCTCACCAGCGTCCTCCACCCCCAGGATGCCCCATCCCCTCTTCAGAGTGACATTCAGTAGCTGGCAATGCAGAGTCCATCTTTGTGCTCAGGGCCACAGCTGGGGTATAACATAGCATGTGGAAAAAGTGTTGGGACTTGTCCTCCTTGAGAGCTTGCCTAGGGAGAGCCAGTAAGAGGCTTAGCTTCATCCGACATGTAGTGTGGCTGGAGAGGAGGGAAGAGGAGGGGGTCACCCCACCTAAAGGAGGGGTTAATAATATACAAGCAGTTTGCAAAGGGAGGTGAGGGAGAAGGGGCAGTGGACAAGGCTCAGCAGAGGGCATTCTTTTAGAGGGGCCGATGGCACAAGGCGCCTTTATCTTGATAGGGCCACGTGTGCATAAGGATGAGCAGCGTCAGGGCAGCTCGGCAAAGGCACGGCGGCAAAGCCGGTGGTTTGCACATCAAACAGATTTAGAGCCCCTCTAAGAAGCTGGCTGTGTGTCTGTAAACAAGGCCAATCCCCTCTATCCAGTTTGGCTAATGCCGTCTGCTGGGGAAGGGCCTTGCAGAGACAGCCACTGGTGGAGGTGGAGGAGCCCTCTCCCTCTGTGCTCCAAGAGCACTCGCAGAAGGGGATGAGAATAACCCCTCCTCTTTCCTTTCCCACCCCCTTTTTCTCTAGTCACCTCCCCACACTGTGGAGCAGTGCAAGTCCTGCCTGGAGCCCTTCTGGCTTCAGCTTGCCCAAGTATGGCCACCAGGATCAGACCTCTTGGTGCTAGAGGAGGCGGGGGGTGCGTGTGGGGGTCCTCTTGGCCTGGCAGAATGGTGTCCCCCATGCCCCTGCCCCAGCAGCAGGGCCAGAGGCTGTTCTGGTTGCCTGCAGTGAATCCCGAGGGACGTGCATGTTAGGACATGGCTGAGGTCTTGGCTTCCCTCTGCTCTGAAGGGCTGGTTGGCACCTGGGAGCCTTGGGTCTCTGGAGGCCACGCAGGCACCCAGGGGTC